ACTATGGGCGCAAGTTAATTAAGCAGATTTTAGCGAAACAAGGTTTCTTATTATTAATATTTTTACTTTTTCTTTTTGATTTTTATCTATATGGCAAAAAAAAGAAAATAATCTAACCGGAAGAGAATTAATCACCAAGTTAATCACCGATGATTTAATTAGAAAAGTATTAATTCCCAATTAGATAGTGAAGTAGAAATTATAGTAGTATTAATAAACGCTTGCTATTATGCCTTATAAAATAAACAAACCTATAAATTAACCTAGTGCTTAGACGATAATAATCCCCCTATTCTCGGCATTATGGACTGTTTTCAGATAGAGAAATTTGCTAAAAATTAGTTTATTTTTGTCTACCAAGAAAGTTTTTTAAAGCCTGGTACTCAGCCTTTGTAAACTCACTCGCGAAAATGAATTCGACAGAGTAAATAGTTACGAAAAACCGCCCGAGAGCGACCACATTGCAAGCAACGGGTATATTTTCTCACCGCAAATCTGGGTGTCTTTTTGGCTTTCTCAATTAGTGCTTTTCTGGCCATATTGTTATTTTTACGTCTTTTTGCAAATTTTATTTATTATTTTTAGCAATCATCCGCCGATATATCAAACACCTAAAATTATAATATAGACCAAAAAAGGAAACTTAAAACTATCTCTGAATTTGTTTTAGATTAAGGAAAAAATCGAAGTTTAAAGTTTTGAGTTGATATAAATTAATGCCTCAATTACCCGAATTGAAAATTGAAATTACCCAGATTGAAAATGACAAAATTTTTTTGAAAACTAATTACAGTTGGGCGGTTTGTTTAAATGCTGAGTACAATGGCAAGGCCCAAAGTTATTACCTGGCAAAAAATCTGCTTAATTTTCGTAAACTAAAAAAAATACTTTCTGATTATGTCTTCCCTTCTGGGGAATGGCAAGTAAAAAAAACCGACTTTAAATTAAGACCTTACCAAGAAAAAGACGTCAATTTTCTCAGCCAGCAAAAAAATATTGGCATTTTTAACGAAATGCGAACCGGAAAAACTCCTACGGCTTTGGCAATTTTTCAACGTTGAAAAGTTCCTAATTTAGTCATTATTTGTCCCAGCATTCTCCAAGCCCAATGACAAGAAGCCGTGGAAAATTGATTAAACCAACCGGCCTATCTGCTTAGTTATTTGTCTTTAACTGAACGACAAACTATTTACCAAAAATTTTGTCAAGAAAAAAATTGAATTATTATCGTTTCCAAAGATATTTTTAAAATTGACAGCAAATATTTTCGGAACCTGCGAAAAAATAAAAAACCGACTTTTTGTTCACTGATTGATGAGGCTCATTATTTAAGAAATTATCAATCTCAACAAAGCAAAAGTATTTACACCTTAAAAGACAGTGAGTACAAAATGGCGCTAACTGGAACGCCAGTAGTTAATCATTCGAGCGACATTTTTGGCATTTTAAAGTTTCTCCAACCAGAAATTTATGCTTCCTATTGAAAATTTGCCGAAGAGTTTTTTTGAGTGAAGGAAACAGAAATCCCCAAAGCACCAAGAGCTTTCAAAATTAAAAGAGTTTTAGGCTTCAAAAATGAAAGAATGAGCCAAGAATTACAAAGGCGCTTGAACCAAATCTCCGTTGCCCGCAAACAAAAAGAAGTTTTGCCCTGATTGCCTTTAATTGAGCAACAAGAAATAAAATTATTGATGGAAAAAAAACAGCAATTGCTTTATTCCCGCTGAACCCAAAAATGAGACAAAAATTATCCCTTGCAGTTTCTGGCTAAACTCAAAACTTTAACTTTATTCCCTCCGGCTTTGATTCACGAGGAAAGAGACAAAAAAGATTTTCTGACCGAAGAAGACCGAAAATCATTGAAAGATTGTCCAGGGAGCAAAATTGCTTATTTAGTCAATTTTTGTCAAACCAACTCGCAACAAAGTTTACTCATTTTTTCTACCCGTACCGAAACCTTTTTGGAACCCTTAGCCCAGGCTTTACAAGAAAAAAAACTAAAAGTAGCTTTGCTTACTGGTAAAATTCCTCACCAGCAAAGAATTGAATTCATTAACGATTTTCAGCAACAAAAAATTAAAATTTTGCTCTGTAATATCCAAAGTGCAGGTCTGGGACTAAATTTAAGTCAAGCCGATATTGCTGTTTTCGCCGACCGCAGTTATTCCCCGGCCGACAACGAACAAGCCGAAGCCCGTTTTTTACCCACCAAAGAGAGCGAAAACCCCAAAACTCGCTTAATTATTGATTTAGTTTGCAAAGGGACAATTGACGAAAAAATTTTAACTCTCCTGAAACGAAAAAAAGATATTACCAAAATAATTACCTCTCACCCCGAGTATTTATTATAAAATTATTAATCAATCATTTAAAACTAGTTTTTACCTTTCCTTTTTGCCACTTTTACCAGCAATCCACCAATCGTTAATAAAGCAGTCAATAACAAGCCAATTCAAATAATTCTTTCCTTATTTGCTGGCTGAATTATTTCTTTTGGCGGATTAACCACCGCTAAACTATTTAAATTCTGCTTGGCAACAATTATTTAATCTTTCTAGTTGAAATTCTTCTGCTTCAATATAATGATTTTCTTTTTTTTCTCATTCGTTTTGTAAATAATCAATCAGGTTCAACAAATGCTCCTCGTTTTCTTTGAATGCTTCTAATTGGTTTTCTAGCAAGGTGTTTTGTTGGTCGTATCAGTTTATTTGTCCTTTTAGTTCTAATATTTTTTGTTGAGTTTGGTCTTGAAATTCCTCATAGGCTTCTTTAAGATGCTTTAATTCGGTGGCTAAGGAGGGATTTTGCTTTTTAGGGTCAATATTTCAATTAAATTGCTTATTAGCACTAGGAGTAGTAGTGTCTTGCCATTTACACCTCCGGCACGGAGGAGGAATTTCTATCTTTAATTTTGCTCTCTCTCTCTCTCTCTCTCTCTCTCTCTCTCCTTTTGCTTTTAATCAACTCGACTGAAATCCACCTCCTGGCAGCGGAGGAGAAACCGAAATCCCTCTCTCTGACCCCGAAGTAAATGTCCCTGAACCCGGAGAAAACGACCCCACTCCTGAGCCTGATTTTGTCCCTGACCCTTCTGACCCCGACCCCTTTGACCCTGACGATGATGATGCTGATTAAAAATAACCATAATGACAACTGTCGACCGAGAATATGGCTATATTTTCTACTTCAAAGAAGGAGAGCCCAAAATGCTTGGCAAAGAACCTCATATCCACATTTGGGGACACGGGAAAGAAATCCAATACTATCTTTCTCCTTTACGGCTAAAAAGCAAAAAACCTAAAAACTTTCCCCAGGGAGAAAAAAGCAGACTTTATCAAATAGTCAAAGAAAGAAAAGCAAAATATCTTGATAAGTGAGAAGAGGTTAAAAATAGTTAATAATATTATGACAAGGTTAAGAGAAATTGAACGAGAAATAAGAAAGCCGGCAAAACTAAAAGCAGTCCGGAAAGAAACTTGCCAACACCCGCGTATTTTGAAACTGGAAATAAGCAAATCAGAAATAACTGCTTTCTTGGATGATGGTCGAAAAACCAGTATTCCCACCGACTGGTTTGCCAAATGAGGACATAAAAATGTTAAACCTAAACAATTAGAAAAATATGAAGTTTGGGATGGCAGAACTATTTTTTGACCGGAACTTGATGCTCATGTGGGAATAGAAGTGTTTACTGACGGCTTACATGGAATTTGCCCTGATTGCCATTAAAAAAAACAATCCTGATAGGTCAGAACTAAAATTATAATATTATGAATGAGAAAATAAAGTGCATAAATAATAATTGTTCTGACTGTCAGGAATGATTAAAAGAAAACTTAGCTGAATGTGAAGATTGGGAAGTTAAAAGAAAAAAGAGTTATCAAAATTTGAGTTTAGGTTTTGTCCTAACCAAGGAAATAGAGACAGAAAAGACGAAGTAAGGCATCCCGAAACAGGAGGTCATAACTACAACTTCGAAAAATGCCCCTCCTGCCAAGCCGTAATCAAAATAATTAAATCTAACGGCCACGGAGACCAAACCGAAGAAATAAAAGAACATGCTGCTAATTGCCAGCAATCCCATTCTTCCTCAACTTCTCAAAACAAAAGTTCTTTGTCTAGCAATACCAGAGAGAGAGAGAGAGAGAGAGAGAGAGAGAGAGAGAGAGCAAAATTCAGCCTCCCACCACGAAACGGACACCGCCACAGCCGCGAAATTCAGTATCCCACCACGGGGCTGATTTAAATTAGATTTACAGTTTTTCAACGAAGGAGAAGATAAAGATCTTGGGGTTCAGCAAGCTGAATCATTCGAAGGACTCACAGACAAAGAAAAAATAATTACACTTATCCAAAACGGGGTATGATTAAATGAACAGAATGTAGAACTTACAAGAGAAAACCAGACATTAAAGGAAGAAATTAACGCCTTAAAAGAACGAATTGCTTCAAATGAAGAAGAATTAAAGCAAGAGCGAGAAGTGGTTAAAAAAATGCCAGAACGGCAAATTAACGCAGACAAAAGAGAAATTTCTCGTCTAATCGCTGATATTGAAGAATTGAATAGGGTCGTTGAAGAAAAAGATAGAGAAGCAAGCCAATTACGACGCGAAACTAATGAAGCTAAAAACGCCTTAGAGACAATCAATAAACTCTTAACCCAGAAAGAAAATGAAACAATTCAATTAATCAATGAGTCAAGTAGTCGTAAAGAATTAGAATTAGAAAAAAAAGTTGAAGAACTAGAAGCGAAAATAACGAAAAGTGAAAATGATTTTAACCAGTTAGCGTTACAAAATGCGAATGAAGTTGAAAACTTACGGCGCCAAAGCGAAGGATACGAGCAAGAAATTGCTAGACTAAGTATAGTCATGCGGAATTAGCTAATTATACGAGAGAATTAGAGCAAAATTTCGCCAATAAAAGCAAGGAATTAGAAATAAGAAAGCAGGAAGAACAGGTAATTATTAGTGATACAGAAACTGATAACGAGCGAGGAGGCACCCCGAAAGTTTATAATAAAGACCAAGTTAAAGAATTAGTAAAAAGCCTTAAATCCTATCAAAGAATAAACCGCGAATTAGAAGAACAATTAGCTAACCAATCCCGCCGTAATTCCCTGATTTCAAACACCAGTTTTCGTCTTCATAGAGTTTCCACTAGTTCTTCCGAAAATATTAGAGGAAATTTGTTTACGGAAGCGAAAAGGTTCCTTGACAGTCCAGTTGAAAACAAGAGTTTTTTTCCCTCCTCTCCCCAAATAAGCGACGAGAGTAAGAAGAGTAACGAAAGACCAACACACCAAAGGCAAGACACTTCTGATAGTGTATATACTGGTCTAAATACTGATAGTGAAGAGGAAAAACTCGATTATTTTCCGTTGATTGACGATTTAAGATCCCAGTTAGCAGCCAAAGAAAATGAGATAAGAAATTTAGAAAGTGAACAATTACGCAAAATAAAAGAAAACGAAGCCCTAACCAACGAAAATATTCAGAAGCAGAATAGAATTGACGCATTAAGAGATGAATTATCGTATAAGCAAAAACAAATAGATGAAGCAAACAAATTAATAGCACCACAAATCAGCCTTGACACAGTTGAAGAAGAGCAACCAACAAGTAAATTTAATGACAACCTTTCAGCTTCTACTAGGAAAAGGACTAACTCAAACTCCTCCTCCTTGCTTAATTCTAACTGGATTAGTCAGGAATACAAGAAAATTAAAGCAACAGTAAAGCCTGCTGGTTCTGTCGCTCTTTCTAAGGCACCGAGCACGACTTCTCGATTAGAAGAACAAAGAACAAGATACGAAAGAAGAATTGAGGAAATGAAAGAACAAATTCAATCACTTATACAAACTTCTCAATCAGCAAGAGACCAAAAACCAACTGATTTTAATGTTGATGAACATGAAATTAATGAGAGAAAAGAACTGATTAAAGAATTAGAAGAAAGAGTAAGTAGATTAGGGGCAGAAAATAAAAATATTAGTGAGGAACTTGCGAGAAAAGAAGCGGAAATTTATAGGGAAGCAGAAGCCGCTAATTTAGTAAGAATTGAACTACAAGAAACCCAAGAGTCTTTGGAATTAAAAACTGCTGAATTGGAGAAAGAAAAGAAAGATTATGAAGCCAATGCGAATGATTTAAACACAGCAAAAGAAGAAATCAAGCGAATGGAAGCGGCCGTGAAAGAAGCCGAGCAAGCCCTAAAAGCCCAAGAGCAAGCGGAAACCGACAAGCGAACGGCCGAGGACAAAGCCAAAGAGCAAGAAGCCAAAGTCCAAGAGAAAGAACTTAACCTTGCCACAGTCAAAAGCGAACTAAACACGACGCAGAGCAAACTCACTAACTACGAGAATTACCTTCAAACCATTTTGGGAATAAATAACTTTAATAATTTTCCAAGTAATAATACAGGGAAAAGTCTAGTTGATTTGGTTAATTTCTATAATAATAGTTGTCAAAATCACATTGACCGAATAAATACTTTACTTACTGCTAATAGTATTAACCATTCTCAATTAAAAAAACAATTACAGGATAATGGACATATTGTTAACACCAGTCATACCTGACAAAATTATTTACAAAATGCTACTAGTCAAACCGATTTAAATACACGGGTAAACAATTCCCTAACAGCGATTGTTCAGATTATTATAAGAGCAGAAAAAGAAAGCCACAAACAAACTAAAACTAAATTACACGCTGTTCCTTCTAATTGACAACAGCAAATCGCCAAGGCTAACGAGGATAAACAGCAAGCAGAAAGAGAAAGAGAAAGAGATAACCGCCCTACTCAGCAAGAATTAGAAAATTGAAAAATTCGGGCTGAAAAACTTGAATCTGAAAACGAAAACTACCAAGTTCAATTAGCCAATAAGGAACAAAAAATCATTGACGAACTTAATCGCGATTTAAACCTCAACCTCCCAGAACCTAATTTAAAAAAAGTTATTAACCGAATTCAACAGTTAATTAAACAAGACCCAATTACCATTACTGATAATAGCACTATTGAAAGTTTAGAACAAGAATTAAACCAAGCTAACCAAACTATTACTAAACTCGAAAAAGAACTTACTCCTTTCGGGGAAGATTTAGCGGTAATTAAACAACTAGAATTAGAAAGTTTAGAGCAATTATTTAACCAAACAGTAGACAGTGCTATTAAACAACAAATTACCCAAGCAACTAGTTATCAGCAAGTAGTTAGTGCCCGACAAGCCTTCATTCAAAAACATTTAGAGCAAAAACAAAATGTTCAATCTTTGCCGGTGATTAGTCAAACGCAAAAAGAATTAATTCCCCAGCCAAACCAAGAAAGAATTATTTTAATTAGTTGCTTAGTGGCTAGTTTGCTAACTGTTGGGGGATTGTTGATGAAATCAAAAATTATTGGTGGAAGCAAGAGTAAGCAATAGTTGGTTGGTTAATATTTGCCTCCTCCATTTAACACTAATTTACTAATTCTAGTAGTTTGTATCTTAATCTTATTCCAAAAAGCCAAAACTAATTTCAAAGCTTTATTTACTTGTTGCTTGATTTCCAAACTAACTTTTCCTACCAGTCCTTTTAGACGGACCACTTTGTCAATGGTTTGTAAACGATTTAAAAGAATCTTGCTTGGTTTTTCTAAGCCATTATCCGGAGAGTTAGCAATAAACACCTCAAAGTCTTCGGTCGGCTCCGCTTCCTCCGTAGTTAAAGGGGCCACAATAATCTGGTCGTCAAATTCATTCTGGGTATCATTACTCACCACCAAAGAAGGACGGGTCTTTTTGATTTCTCCTCCCCGCTGGGTTTTATAATTATAATCAACTCAATGAATTTCTCCTCGGTGGGGAAAATTAGGCTTAGTTAATGCCATCTTCAATGGCTCCTTCCCAAACTTTGGCTTCTTTTTTCATTGCTTGGCTTTTGGCAACTCTTTTGTAGCCCGCAATTAACTTTTGTTTTCTTCGGCTTAGCTCTTCCGTAATTAATTTGTCCACTAACTGGCTAATTTGTCCGGAGCCTATTTGTTGTTTTAACTCTTGATAAGTTTTGTCTTGAATACTAATGCTTAATGTTTTCATATATATTGTTTTAATGTTTATTGTTTGTTGCTCAATAATTAAATAATTCTTTTTGTTTTTGGTTGGCGTAATTATTTTTTTTGGTTTATTCTTCCCTCTCCTTAAAAGTTGTTTTTTTCTTTTCTCAACTAATTTTTTGTTTAATATCGATTCTACGAGAAAGTATTTTGAATAATTATAGCCGAGTTAATCAATCAATAAAAATTTATGATCAAAACAACAAAAATAATTATTATATATAATTCAAAACTAAAATTAATTATGCCAAAAAAGAAATTACCCAAAAAACTGGCCAAACCTACTAAGGAATTAGTCAATTGAAAAGAAGAATTAACTGTTTGAAGTATTGTGCTTAATACGGTTATCGCGATTATTCAGTTAATTATTACTTTGGTGATGATTAGTCGGGGCAAGTAGAAATTAGTTTGCTGGGAGAGAAAAACTTTTTTCACCTTTTGGCTCAGTTGAAAGAACAAAAATAATAATATATGAAAGTGCGTAGTTCTGTCGAAAAAATTTGTAAAAAAGGTTGCCAATTTGTGCGCCGGAGAGGGGTTTTACGAGTTATTTGTAAAGCTAATCCTAAGCATAAACAAAAGCAAGGTTAGTAAAAATAAATATATATGGTTCGGACAATTCGGATTAGTAATGTTAATATTCTCACCCGGAAAAATATTTATGTGGCTTTAAGTGGTATTTACGGAATTGGCAAAAAGTTTAAAAAAAAGTCCCGGGCTCGGCAAATTCTCGAAAAATTAAACATTAATCCTTTCTTGAAAGCCAAAGACCTAACTGACGAGCAAATTAATTTAATTAATCACGAGATTCAACAATTTGAAGTAGAAGGAGATTTGAAACAAATTAAAAAGCAGAATATTGAAGAAAAAATTCGGATCAATTGTCTACAAGGTCGGCTGCATTCCATGGGTAAAAAAGTCCGGGGTCAGCCTACGCGGCATAATAATCGCACCCGACCAAACGGAATAGCAAGTATCACTAAACAGCGGTTAGCGATTGCCGGCAAGAAAAAAGCTCCACAGCAAGGATAATCAATGATGAAAAAAGATAATTTAGAAAAAACTAAAAAAGTAAAAAAGGTGAAAAAAATTCCGAGTGGTCGGGGTTGTTTGAATATCCATTCGAGTTTCAACAACCTCATCATCACCATCACCCAAACAAACGGGGACAAATTGGCACAAGTTAGTTCGCGCACAGCCACTGGCTACCGGGGCACCAAAAAATCTACTCCTTTTGCTGCCCAAAAAGCCGCAGAAGCCGCCTTAGAAAAACTAACTGAATTTGGCATTTCGTTAGTCGAAATTATTGTTTGGGGAATTGGCAGTGGGCGGGACGCCGTAATCAAAAAAATTTGTAATACCGCTGGTCTCCAAGTAGAAAAATTGGTCGACAAAACTGCCCTGGCTTTCAATGGTTGTCGACCCCGCAAAACTCCCCGTAAATAAACATATGAATCAAGAATTATTTCCCCTTCCAGCAATGGAAATCAAAAAAACAATTAAATCTCCGCTGACTACCGAATTTGTTTTTAAGCATTTAGAAACTGGTTTAGCGGCCACCTGAGGAAATACTTTCCGGCGACTTTTACTCACGCGCGTTCCTGGCTGAGCCATTTTTGCCGTGAAAATCAGTGATAAAGCAAAAACCATTACTAACGAAATCGCTAAATTAGAAGGAGTGAAAGAAATACCTATTTACTTGAACTTCCACCTCAAAAAATTAGTTTTTCAATCCCCGTCGGAGGATTATCTACGCCAAGGAAAAATTTGCACTTTACAAATTAACGTTGATAATTCCCAAGGTAAAGAAGAATACGTAGTTACTGGCAAGGATATCCAAGGAGAATTAACTGTCCTTAATCCCGAAACTTATTTGGCGACAGTTGCTCCTGCTGCCCAATTGAAAATTACTTTGTATTGCTCCTATCATTATGTTTCCCGGTCTGCCAAGGAACAAAAATCATTTTTTTCCCTCGAGAACAAAAAAAAAGATGAAAGCGATGCTTCCAACGGAGAAGACGATAACAAACAAGAAATTCAACTCCAAAATGAAGAAAATCTGATTTTTCTCGATAGCGATTATTGTCCAGTCAAAACAGTAAGTTGACAAGTTGAACCAGTTATTGTTGACTTGGATAAGCAAGAGGAAAGTTTAAAATTAACAATTACTACTAATGGCAGCATTAGCGCCAACAATTGTTTACTAACGGTGATAAACTTTTTAGAGCAGTCTATGCTTAACATTCGGCAGTTAATTGCTTCTGAACCACGCCAAGAAAAAGCCAAGCCAGTCGGAAAAAGCAACTAAAAGTTGAATTTGCTGGAAGGATGGTCAGCTTTTGTTATAATGGTGATAATTTTTAGTTTACAAAAAAGATTGCTTTTGAGAGTTTTGGCTCGTTTTGCTCTTTCAAGGGTAGTTCCTAGTTTCACCAAATTATTCATATTGCCAAAAAAACTCCTGGTCATTGATAATTATTACGTCGCTGCTTTTTACTCCTTTTTGCCGAAAGTATTCACCGAGATTGGTTTTTTTTAATTCTTGGATTAGTTTTTCTTGGTGGTGACATTTTTGGCTCAAGTTCTCAATAAAAGAACCGGTCAGTTTTCAATAATGGGGTTTTAAGGAAGTTATCTGCCAGTCAAGGGGAACCGTAAAATCATAAATTTTATGGAGCAGAGAAAAAGGAGTAGTTTTTTGGCTTTTTTTGGTTAATTTAAATAATTCTTTTACTAATAAACCTAAATTAGTTTTTTGGGCTGCTGAGATAAAAAAATGCTTCTTGTTTTTTAGTTTAAGTTGAACTTTTTCTAGTAATTTTTTTTTTTCTGTTGGGGAAAGCAAGTCAATTTTATTTCAAATAATTATTTTTTGCTTATTTTGGGGTTCAGCAATTCCGCTGCTTTTTAATTCTTTTTCTAAAATGTCTAAATCTTGTCAAGGATTATCTTTGTTGGCGTCTAAAACGTAAATAATTAAGGAGCAGTGCGTGGTGTGCCGCAAAAATTGTAAACCTAAGCCTTTCCCTTGGGCTGCTCCTTCAATAATTCCGGGCAAATCAGCAATAGTTATCCTTTGCTCTCCTTTGACTAAAACTCCTAATTGGGGATTGAGAGTGGTGAAAGGAAAATCCGCGGTTCTTACTTTGGCCTTAGTTAAAGCGTTGATTAAAGTGCTTTTGCCAGCATTAGGCAAACCTAACAAGCCAACGTCAGCCAGAATTTTTAATTCTAGTCGCAGTTGAATTTTTTCTCCTAAACTACCCTTTTGGGCATAATGGGGAGCCCGATTAACCGAAGAAGCAAAAGCGGCATTTCCGCACCCACCTTTTCCGCCTTTGGCAATTAATAATGTTTGTTGAGGAAACAAAATTTCCCCAAGAATTAACTCCTTGTTGATTTGGGTAAAAGCAAGTTTTTCTTCTCTTAATTTAATGACTGTGCCCAAGGGAACTTTGATATAAATATTTTCTCCGTTTTTGCCAGTTTTTAACTGATTTTCTCCGTTGGCTCCATTACCGGCTGCTCAAACTTTTTTCCTGCTTAACGAAAAAAAAGAATTTATTTGCTCATCCCCTTGAAAATAGACATGACCGCCATTACCACCATTTCCTCCGTCTGGACCAGCTTTGGGATTACGATAATCATGACGAAAAGAAACAGCACCATTGCCACCTTCACCAGCTTTAGTAGTCAGAATAATTTCATCCACGAATTTCATATTAAAAATTTTACTTTGTTCAAGTTTTTTTATATGATAAAAGTATGAATGGTAATCAAAACCAAGTTAGGGTCATTTAACTTACTTTGCTTTTGGGCTAGTTGTTGGTTTTCCGCTTCTCGCTTTTTGCGGCCAATATCAATACCGATTTTTTTATTTGCAGGAAGTAAATCATAAAAACATTCTTCTCCTACGCTTAGTTCTAATCAAGTGTATTTTTTTCCATTAATTCAGCAAATTGAAATAATAGTTTGTCCTGTTGATAAGCAGCGTTGATATTAATGCTTACTGGCAGACCATTCACCAAGCCAATCGGCAAACTTAAACTAGGAAAGCCACCCAAACTGGCTAAAAGTAGTAAATTATCGCTCCAATGCGTTTCACTACCAGTAAAAAAAAAAGTACTATGTTCGATTTTTGGGGCTTCACTATTCGTGCTGGGTAAAAGCAAAAAATCATATTGACGAAAAATTTTTTCGGCTCAGTTCTTTACTTTTTGCCGAAAAAGATAAGCCTGTTCGCAACCTTGTTTATTTTGTAAAAAATAACTACCTAATAGCAAACGTTGCCGCACTGATTTGCCTAAATATTCGGTTCTCATTTGGCCCACTTTTTCTCCAATATTCTTGGCACTATTTACTTTTTGTCCGTAAGTTATTCCTTGGCAAGAATTTAAATGACTGGCTAACTCGCTCGAACAAATAATTAAATAGCAAAGTTGAAGATTGTCCCTTATTTCCAGGGGAATCTCAATGGTTTTCACTTGATAATTTTTTCCTTTTAAAATAGCAATTGTGTTTTGGTATAGTCTAGCAAATTCCGGGGCCAAATGTTTCTCTATGCCTTTTAAAACAGCGATTTTTTTGGTCAAAGAAACTGGCTTAATTCTAGCTTGCTCAGCAGCAATAGTTAAAAGGTCATTAGGGTCAGGTTGGGCGATTACCGCAAAAACTTCCTTGGTAGTAGCCACAGAATTCGCCAAAATTCCCACTGTATCCAAAGAGGAAGCCATAGGAATAAGTCCATAACGAGAAACTAACCCGTAAGAAGGCTTAAAACCAATTATTCCACAATAAGCCGCTGGTTGCCGCACTGAACCACCGGTATCACTACCTAAGGCAAAAGAAACCAAGCCTCTGGCTACTGCTTCTGCGGAACCAGAAGAAGAACCCCCGGTAATATGCCGAGGATTATGCGGATTAGTAATTATTCCAGTATTAGCTAATAATCCTGTGCCGCCGCAAGCAAATTCATCCATTGCCGTTTTTCCTTGGAAAATTGCTCCTTCTTTGGCTAATAATTGAATTACTGTGGCGTTTTCACCGGGCACAAAATCCAGCAAAAAATTTGAACTAGCCGTAGCGGGTAAATTTTCCGCTCAAAAGTTATCTTTGGCTAAATAAGCAACATTTTTTAACTTGCCCCGGCTTTTTCTTGGTTTTTTGTGAGCAGGAAGAGGAGAAATGGTGAAATTGCTATTGGTTTTTTCCATGGGATAATATAAATTTTATATTTATGCTGCCTATAAGTTTTCAATTTTTTGGTGTTAATAACCTGGTCAAAAAAAACAGAGAGAGAGAGAGAGAGTATTCAAGTAAAAAATGACTAATTTGAGTAGTTTTTCTAGCCGGAGTAAGTGGTTTAATTTATTGGCTAACCAAATCCAAAAAAACTAAGCATTAAATGTAAAAAGATAATCAATGACCAATGAAGCCTGCCAAAAAATAACCAAGAAAATTAAAAAACATTCTACTATTATTTGTTTACGCCATATCGATGCTGATGGGGATGCCTATGGTTCAGCTATGGGGTTAGCCCAATTAATTAAAGATAATTTTCCGGAAAAAAAAGTTTTCACGGATGGAAAAAACAATGACAGCCTCAGCTTTTTAGGAAAAAACGACCAGTTAGAAAAAAGAGATTACCAAAACTCCTTAATAATAATCAGTGATACGGCCAGCCAGGAAAGAATAGATAGTCAACATTGAAAATTAGCTTCCGAAAAAATAAAAATCGATCACCACATCAAAGGAGAAAACTATGCCGATTATGAATGAATAGACCCAACTTATGCAGCAACTTGCGAAATGTTAGGAGAATTAGCGATGAAAGCAAATTGAAAAGTTTCCAAAAAGACCGCTAACTTTTTTTTGCTCGGAATAATCACTGACTCAGGAAGATTTTTGTACAGCAACACTACCTCGCGAACTTTCCAAATTGCTTCTTTTCTGCTCCAAAAAGGGGCTGACGCAAATTATCTTTGCACCAATCTTTATCAACAAAATCTCAATCTTTTAAAGTTTAAAGGTCATGTTTTAAAAGAATTCATTTTAACTAAGCCAGGAGTGGCTTTTCTTAAAATCACCGCTGCTACTTTAAGAAAATACAATATTAACCGGTTAGAAGCGAAATCAGTAATTAATATTTTCGCTAATGTCAAGGAGATTAAAATCTGATTGTTGGCAATTGAAGAAGCAAAAGAACTAATTAAAGTAAGTATTCGCAGTTCCCAGTATGTTATCAGTGAAATAGCCGAAAAATATAATGGTGGTGGACATAAATTTGCCGCAGGAGCAAAAATAAAAGCATGGGTGGAACTAGATAATTTAGTTGCTGATTTGGACAAATTAATAAGTTAATACTAATACTAAAAATAATTTAAGAATTGGATATGACATTAGATAAATTTTCTTTATCAAACAGGGAAAGAAAAAAGAATAACACTTGAAAGATTTTTTTTATCTTTTTTTGTTCTTTTCTTAGCCATTATTTTAATTTGTTTTCTTTTTTGCCATTTCAAAGATAAGCCAGCCAAAGTTATTGAAAAAAGTCCTTCAAATACGACAGAAAATCAAGAAAACAATACTTCTCCGCCGGGGAGTGGAAATTGAAAGCCGAATACCGATTACCAGCCAATTAAAAATGAAGCGGAGTACCAAGACAAATTAATTTCCTCAGCAGGGACAGAATATAAAAAAGCAGTGATTGAAGCTAATATGCTACCACGTGGCTCTGCTATTTTAACCGGTTCAGGTGATTTAGAAAAGCAAGGAATTAAAGCAATTATTCATGCTTGTCCCGGAGCAATTCAAAAAAACGCGGGGTCCGAATTTGAGCCAAATATTCAAGGAATTATTCATTCAGTCCAAAATTCCATAATTTTAGCCGAAAAAAATAACTATAAAAGCATTGCTTTTTGTCTGGTCGGAAGCAGTTTTCTTGACAGGATTTTTCCAAACCAAGGAACTAAAAAGGAAAAGCAATTAAAACTAGCTGAAATTATTATTAAATCAGCCGTTGAACAAAGAAAAAGTTTAGAAAAAATTGTTTTTGTTGATTTTGGCAATACGGCATTTATGGAAGTTAACATAAAGATAGGAACAGAAAGTTATTTTCGTAAAAAACTGGGTATAGTTTCTATTCTCTTTTGTGGAAATAATTCAATTACTGATTATTCGTCTCATAAATGCGAAGTAATTGTTAATTCTCTCAATATGGAAGGTGAATTTATTAGTTCAGGAAGTTTTTCCGGATTTATTGCTAAAAAAACTGGTTCAAGAAAAAGCAAAATTCAAAAAAAGATTAAGGAGCATATTACGGAGTTTAACAAAAGGCTAAAAAACAAATCTATCTAACTTGTTGCTGTCGTTTCGGCACTTTGAAAAGGGAACTGCAATAACTCTAAAAAATATTTATTTTCCTCAACTTTGGCAGAAGTAAAAACAATGGTAATTTGGCAACCTTGATTTTTAAAAGTTAAATCATAACTAGTTTCGGGAAAAATGTTTAAATCATTGATTCCCAGATTATAATTTCCTTGACGATCAAAACTTTGCCTCGATAAACCCCGAAAATTTTTAATTTGGGGCAGACTAAGATTAATTAAATTAAAAAGAAAGTGCCAGGCTCTTTTTTTCCGCAAAGTTAACTTGCAACCAATCGGCATTCCTTCTCGCAATTTGAAAGAGACCACCGATTTTTTGGCTCGCGTGCGAACTGGTTTTTGCCCTTGGCCGATTTGTTGGATTAATTTTTCGGTGCTTTCGAGATATTGCTGACTAGTAATTGCTTGGTTTACTCCACTGTTGAGAACAATTTTTTCAACATCAGTAGTTTGCATCAGAGAAGCATGTTGGAACTTGTCTCCTACTGCTTTTTTTACTTCTTTTCTTTTTTTTTCTCACCAATCATTAGTAATTAACATATTTTAATTTTTAACTTTATTTCGTCTATAAAAGCAAAACAAAATGAATAAAGTAAATACTGTCTTAATTGACGAACAGCTGGCGAGTGCTGAGAAAGGAACCGCTGGGGTAGTTCAACCTATCAACAGAAAAGAGCAAATCACAGGAATACTTACTTCCCGTATCGAAACCAAGCGTGATAAAGTTCCTAACAAAACTTACCATTACGGTTTTTTTAAGTTAGAAACCCAAAACCAAGAAATTCCGGTAGTCTTCAAAGAAAAACCGGAAATCCCCAAAGGCAGCAAAGTGGAATTAATCGGCAAATGAGCCAGTAGCTCCAACTACCGACCATCCTTCACAGCCAATGCTTACCAACTCCTCCCCGACCCACCCGAACTAACCACCCAAACCTTACGGGAGCAAATCCAAACTCTCCTTACCCCCAGCCAAGAAAAGAAAAAAGAATGAAGCCAAACAGTGGACTTTTTCTTTCGCAAGCTAGAAGAACTAAAAGAGCTAGAAAAGTTCAGCCAATTAGGAGAACAGTATTTAAAAGCTCACTTGCTCACTAAATCTGCTCGCTATGCTAACTATCAAAGCGAATATTTAGAGCAAGCTAAATTGAACCAAGCCAGTTATTTAGCCCGAATAGCTTCCGAGTTAGAGATAACTAAAAGGCAAATGTTAGCGACCGGTTGAAAGGAGGAACCAAAATAATGGGAGCCTCCCCTAAAATCCAAGACACTAACCTGAATATTACCAAATTCCAGTGTAGCCAATGTCAGCAAAAGTTCACAGACAAAGATAAAGAGAATGACAATTGAGACCTCTGATTTGACACTACTGGTGATGATACCCAATGCCCCAAAATAGGGGGTTGGTGAAGGTTAAGTGTTTGGGTGAGAGATATTACCCATAAATTTTCCCAAGGAGAAACTAACGGGCAACCTTGATATTCTTATGATTGCCCGGAACCCCAAGAGCAAGCCAAGGAGGTCTCCCGTGCCTAGAAACTTAAAAACCCAAGCCCAATTACAAGCTGAAATAAACCGACTAAAAGCGGAAAACCAACAATTCCGATTAGTCTTTCGAATAATCATTGAGACAGCTTATCAGGTGGTCAATAAAGAACCAGAACCAGAAACCAAGGAGGCCAACCATGAATAAACTACTCTTCACCCTGACCATTCTCAATTTCCTTCTCTCCTTGATAATTATCTTTTGAGCCATCAACAAAAACTGCTCCCGCTGCCAGCAAGAAATGAACCTCAAAAGAATATTTACCCTTAAAGACAAGTGTAAAGATTGCAAAGGAGGGAAAAATGACTAAGGCTCGAAGTGAATATATTTATCAGTTAATTGGCACTATTCAAGGCAAAAAACAAAAAGACACTAAAAGTCGGGCTCGTTATGAATTAGAAGTGACTATTAAAGGTAAACCTCACCTGAACAAAATTTGGGTCTACCAGGACAAATTAGAAAGTTCTCAACTTTGGCAAGAGATTGAGAAAAATGCTTATGTTGACAAAAAATACCTCTTTTATTGTCAGAACTACATGGGACAGTATCATTTAGTAGATTGAGAGGAAGTTGAGCATGAAAAATAAGTGTCAATACAATCATCCCAATTGCCAAAAAACAGCCACCTATCAACACATTCTCAAATTAGGATCAGTGAAAATAGATAAGGGTTATATTTGTCGAAGCTGTAAAGAATTTATCGAAAAAGCCCGGGAGGAAAATAAATAACTATGAATAACTACACCCAATGATTACAAAACAAAAATTTTTCTCTTAATACTATTGAAATTTATAATAAAGTAGTTAGGTATTACGGCAATCAGTCCCTCACTACCGAAAATATTATTCTGTTTGCAAAAAAAATAAATAAACAGCAAGAACCAGCCACCTGTCGAGCTTATTTGGCTGCTCTGGCTTCCTACACTAAATTTCAAGGAATTAAAGATATTGATTGAGAAAGAGTAAAAGTTTTAATTCCGAAAATCCAAAAGAAGTTTTACACTACTGTTAACCAAGCCGAATTAGAGTTATTAAAAAAAGCCCGTTTTGAAGGAAGTGATTGACTTTATGAACGAAATAATTTAATATTGGATTTACTTTTTTATTCGGGATTAATAATTAATATTCGTCATCGGGACTATCAAGGCAATTCTTTAAGAATTCACGGTAAGGGAAATAAGGTGAGATATGTTTTTGTTCCTGATTTTTTGGTTAAGCATTTTAAGTTTGGTTCTCCAAGATATTTATTTGTTCTTAGTGAAGGAAAAAGAATCGATGCTCCCCAAGTTCGAAAGACCATCCAAAAGAGGGTTAAATTAGCAGGTTTGAAAAAATGAATTACTCCTCATACTTTCCGGAGAAGTTTAGCCACTAATCTTTATAACCGAGGGGGCAAACTAGAAACGATACAGAAGCAGTTGGGACATTCTCACATCCAAACTACTCTCGGCTACATCCACAATGACTATACACCC